ATGGAACGTCCAAATCCAATGTGATCATAATTGGCACAGCAAACAGAAAGACCTGAACAGACAGGAAGAAACAAATCTTGGCGGACAAATGACCTTCCAGAAAATTACCAAACCATGGCAAGGCGCAGAATAGGAATAGACCCCTGTTTGGGATTCCCCAAGCTTGTGGAAGTCGAGATTGCTCTGAAGCACGGCTCGGTGCTCCAAGATGAAATCCCAGTCGTTCAGGTTGTCCAAGATCCTGGGGTGAGACGAAGCGAAGGAATACGTGTAAACATGCCTGGAAAACATGCTTTGGACCCAACATATTGGGAAGGCTCAGCGCGTCGTGCTTTCCGTAGCAGAACTTGCTCAAGTTCAAGGTAGATACCCCCTGTACCGTGAGGACAAAGGGATTGGTGAACAAGCTCTTCGCAAAGGAGGTTTTTGCTGATTGTGAAGGCCCTTGAAGGGCATACATGAGGTACCGCCTAAGCTGCACAGAAAGATTGGTCGTGGAGCAGCAGCCGCGCATCTCAGCTACAGCAGTGCGATCCAGAAACTCTTTGGCATAGTGAAACTGCGACAAGAAGGTTGGAAGCCGAGGAAACAGATGATGGTTCGGGTCGCGGAAGGGCAACTGCGTGGACGCTAGTAATTGCTGCACATGACGTTGGTATGCCTTCCTGAGAAAAGAGGGGTTCGCGCCATCTCTACTGCAAAATCACAGGTTCAACAGTGAAGCAATTTTGTCAACATGCTATCTAGCGACAATGCGGCCTCTCGCTCCTGATCTTCCACAGCCTGGGCATTTTGAAGGCCAGCCTTGTAAGAACGTCGACATTGAAGCAGATATCGTTGATACTGTTCATGCGTGAACTTCCTGGGCGCAAGTGAGATGAATAGGTGAAGTGACACGTTTTTGGCCGAGACGCTGCACGGACCACCAATTTGTCAGCCAAGTGGGGTTGACGGAGTAGTCAAGGAAAGGATGCCAGTCAGTAAAGGCCCAAAGAGTTCCCCTCTTATTACCTGAACGTGCAGCGGTCAGCAATGAACCAGAATGGAGCCAGCAGCGAGGCGACATGAAGCTGAGCCTTGCACAGACCACATAAAAATGTGCACGTGCGCGAGAAGCCTCTACGTCCGATCCGCGGGCTGCGTTGGTGGCAATGTGCGGCATTATGCCATTGAACTGGAAACATGCCATGTTCCTTGGTCGCGAACGTCACAAAGGATACGCTTTTGGAAGTCTGCCATGCATTCGATGATTCAAACAAAGGCACGTGCGATCAATCCTCTTGTGAAAAGTGAATTGCGCATGCAGGTGCACCCGAGGTTGATCACTGTTGAGGGATTCCTCGACCGTCAAGGAAGTATGCCACAAGGCTTCGGAGAAACGATTTGGAAAATCATTTCTGGCCCAATCCTTAGCATCGATAGGCCGAGCTACCAGCTTCGTCTTCTAAATCCGTTTTTCTGGAACCAATAACATCCACGCGTCTAGAAAACTGGAAACCAAAGCCACTCCACCATCTGGGCGCGCAAACCAGTCCGCAACTGCAAGGCCTTCTGGGACAAAGCTGTGGTTGAAGGTGAGCAAGACGTCGCAACAGCACACTCTGCGAGGAAACACGGGAAGCTGTGGGCCAGAAGCTGGAGGCGGGTGCTGCAGTTCCAACCCTGTTGCCTCGCTCCAGCGCTGCACGGCTGCTTGTGCTGTCCGAATTTCCTCCGGATCGTCTAGCTGCGGGAAGAGGTCGGACAGGAACTGCTCCACCTCGTCCTTACCCGCATCCCGTTGCAGTCGCTGCGGGGAGCCCAAGTTTTGGGCCAGTCTGGAGAAAACCCGCGTTGCCTCCCGCCTGGCATTCTTATCGGGCATGCCGGGAAGCGGCTACAGATTGAAGCGCGCTGGAGCAAGACACCTGCAGAGGCTTGTCAGATGCCAGTGACTTAATGCAACCATCAAGGAGATGCACGCTGCAGAGGACGCTTCGCGCGCTATCATGGGTTAGTCAAGAACGCAAATGACGTCTTTGCTCGACCAACAAATTTGGTTTTGGACAAGACGGAAGACCTTACATTTTTGGAGTTGAAAACTGGATGGTTTCATTTCGAGTGGCGTGGCCGCCTCAAACGGAGTGGGCTGGGTGAAGGCCTTTCCAGTCGGACCAAAGGTACACTTTGCAAACAACGATGGAAACTTTTGTCCCACACGTTTTCCAGTGTTACTGCTCGTGAGACAAAGACTCCTTTTGACGGTGCTTCTGGAACATCTTCGCAAAAAACGCATCCCAAACAGTTGCCCATACAAGCCATCCCGCGTAAGATTTCACGCCAACAGACATGTCAAGCAGCCTGCTGTTGAGATCTTACCGATGGTACGAAATCAAATTTGTGGTTTTGGCTCGAAAAAATGTGATTCGCACCATTCTTGTTCATAGCTACACTTTACCAGGAACGATGGAAACTTCTGCCCCAATTCTTTTTTAGTTGTAGTGCTGACGAAACATCTAAACTCCTTCGACGGTGCTTCTGGAACATCTTCGCAGGAAGCACCTTTCAAGCAGCTGCCCATAGAAACCATCTGCGCAAGATTTCGCACCGAAAGTCATGTCAAGCAGCCTGCTGTTGACATCTTACCAATGGTATGGAATAAAAACTGTGATTTATGGCTCCAAAGCAAATGTGATTGGTGCCACTCTCTTTTTCGCAGCCCCGATTGGAAGCACGTCTCCGTATCCACATGCTCTCGGACCTCCGCAAGAGTAAAAACATACCCAGAAAGCTGGACAGTATCATTGAGATTAGACACCACGCGACATGTCCACTCGAGGCCTTTCTTGACATCAAGCACTCTGGCAGGGCTCCAACAACAATTCTGAATCAAAACTGCCCGCTGAGACATATCATCTGTCTGCACTGAACAAGTTCGGGCTGACAAGCAACACCCGTCGAAACTCATGCACAAGTTGCAATAGAAAACAAAACACTGCAGACAATAAAATCCGACCATTCAAGCTTCAGGGGGCTCCAACAGGAGAGTTCTCATTCAACTGACCATGTGTCTGCACTGCACAAGAACATGCTCAAAACTATGAGCTTCATTAAATACAAAATTGCAAAATATTCCCTTTCGCCTTCAGGGCTTCCAACAATCAATTCTCATCAATGCCGCATGCACTTTGACATGCTGACCATCTGTCCGCACTGCACAAATTTGGGCCTCAGAAGCATGTGCCAAAGCCTTCTATTCACAAATTATGAGGCACATCTGTTATTCAAAACTGTACAACATACCATATAGGGTTTAGGGGGCCAAGAAAGGAAAGCAACTCAATCCATGCTGCATGCACTCTGACAAGCTGACCGTCTGTCTGCACTGCGCAAAATCGAATGGCATTAGCAGGATCCGCGAAAACCTTCTATTCAAAAGATATGAAATACATTAGTTATTCAAAACCGTAAACCCTACTTCAACAAGAGAGTTCTCATCAATGCTGCACGCACTCTGACATGCTGACCATCGGTCCGCACCGCACAAGCTTGGGCCTCAGAAGCATGTGCCAAAACCTTCTATACACAAATTATGAGGCACATCTGTTTTTCAAAACTGTACAACATACCATATAGGGTTTAGGGGGCCAAGAAAGGAAAACAACTCTCAATCCATGCTGCATGCACTCTGACACGCTGACCGTCTGTCTGCACTGGACAAAATCGAATGGCATTAGCAGGATCCGCGAAAACCTTCTATTCAAAAGATATGAAGTACGTTAGTTCTTCAAAACCGTAAACCCTACTTCAACAAGAGAGTTCTCATCAATGCTGCACGCATTCTGACATGCTGACCATCTGTCCGCGCAGCACAGGATGAAACGGCACAAGCGGAATCTGCGGAGCAGAAACCTTCTCCTCAAGAATTATGAGCTGCATTACGTACCTGCGCACACTCTGACATGCTGATCATTTGTCCGCACTGCCCAGGTTCGTCGGGCCTCAGAAACATCAGCCGAGACTCTTTTCTCAGAACCGGAAACAAGCAAAATGTTTCATGTCCATGATAACAAGGTAGAACAAGAACACGCACACGACAATCTCATAACGCACAAAGTAACTAGTTACAGACCTGCTGAACTAGGTGCAAACGGCAGGAGCGAGAACGCTTCTTTTCCAGCCACATCTCGATTCAGTGGCAAAATTTCCCCAACTGGTGTATTGAATACTGGTGCACTTTTGGTGCACGGTCCCGATAAATGATGTGCACCTATGGTGCATTCGTGATGCGGGACTGGGTAATCGAACTTTCCCGTCGCTGGTGTTCGATTCCCGTCGTAGCAAACACCAGCATGGTGTTTACACCAGGAGAGCTATCGGCCCCTGAAAGCGTGCTGCAGGTGGCCCAGCTCGGGGATGTTTTCAAAACCTCGAGTAGAGGCTGCTCTGATGTCCCCGATGATTTTTAGAGCCCGATTGGTGATGGCTTTGTGGGGAACTTCTATCTTGGACCATAAGGGGCTCAAACCTACTGATGGGGTCCGAAATGTTGGCCTTGGTGGGCACTCTCTCGAGCCGATGTGCAATGCCCCTTCTGTTGTGCCAAGTCCAGTGTGCACTGATGAGTGCATTCAGGGGCTGATGTTTCCCCACGCCCTTAATGATGGCGTGCCTGGCAGCCTCATTGTCGCAACACTGGATGTAGAAGTCGCCCAGCAACGGCTCGAAGATCAAGGGGGCCAAGAGCGCAACCCATGCCTCCAGCAAATAGATGAATGCGGTGTTGGAGCTGAACTGTTTGAGGATTTCCTTGGGGAGTCGACCCTGGAAGAACCATACACGTTGGGATTCTCCCGGCGGGAAGATGACGGCTCCAAATCCGTTGTCAACGGTGCCGTAATCTTGTGGATGCCAACCCTCAGGGATTGGGTCGCATGGTCGTAACTGTTGTTGATTGGCGGTGTAGTACGCGTCGGTGTAGATGACGGCGACTTGTCTCACTTGAAGGTCACGGGGTATCTTCATGGGCTTGCAACGCGAAATGATGTCCATGAGAGCATACAGAGCAGCCTTGGTGGGTTTGTCCAGCGAAGTGTGATGGTTATGTGCTCTGGCGTAAATGGCCTTGAGTGGGGCACGACCGACTTTGCCAAACAACCTGCCGGTGAGGAAGTTGCACTTACCTGCCATCCTTCTTGCCATGTCTGAGTCAAGGTGGTCGTTTTGTATGCAACTGAGGATGTCCTGGCGCATCCTGTCAACACGCTGAGGGCAAGGTGTGAGGATGACATGTTGCTGTTCGATGCTAATGTGGACACCCTGTATCTTGTGTGTCTTGAGGCTGAGTGTCTGGTGATCTCGGTGCTGCCGTAATCGTCGACGTACTGCATGGTGGGACAAAGTAGGAGGATTCTGGAGACGGAGACCATGGCGTCACCAAAGCGATTGTACCCCCATACACTGGCGCACGACCCAAAATAGCAGGACGTTGTGGCTCCACAGTGTGGGGCCCTGGCAAGAGGACATATTGTCCAGGGTAGCTGTCTGTATGCTCCGTCGTGGTCATGCCCCCAGACGTGCATGTCCTCTTTCGGGTGCAATTGGTGTGTTTGTATGACCAGTGAAGCGAAGTGGTCTGGTGCGTGGTGAAAAGGTTGATCGTGCATGGTGCATGTGGAATTGTGCCCGCTGCGGCGCCAATCCTCTCCGCGACGGATTTCGTCTTTGCCGTCTGACCCGGTTTGCTTGATGCTGAAGGCCATGGCTATCTTGGGTGTAGGGTGCGGTAAGGGCAGGTCCATATCGTATCCCGAGGGTGTGATCGTAGATGTCGGCCACGAAGGGGGTTGTCGGAACGGTCCATTCATGCGTCCTGCTCTGACTTCTTGCACGATCTCTTCCAACATGAACGCGTAAGGGTCATCGACTCGTGGCTTGAGGAGCTTTTGTTGCATGTACTGATGGTTGTGGTCAATGAAGTCCTGGGGTGACCTGGGGTGTAAATATTTCTGGTCGGTGCGGACGTACCAATTGGTGCCAGGTTGGAGATCGCCCATTAGTTGGAAACCATTTGTGAGTTCGCGCTCGAGGATGTCGGCTTGGGGATACTGTATCAGTCTGAGAAGGTGTATGCGTACAGGCACCTGCGTGGTGCACCCAGCGGTGGTGTAAGCGTGGTGCACATGCGGCGGTAACTGCGATCTCCAGGTATCGGGCAGGTCCTCCATGTCCTCGACTAGCTGTTGTATCTCTTCCACAGCCTGTCGTCGGAATTCGCTGATGGGATGGAATGCGGCTGAGGATTGGATGCTCCAGAGGAGCGTGGGGTCCAGGGCCTTTGGTGTGTGGCTGGTGTCTAAGGTTCTGGCCCACTGCAGATGGCCTCGTCAGGAGAACTGTGGCATGTACTGGTTGGACGACTGTCGAGGCGGTGGGCCAAAAGGTGCTGGGTTGGCCAACCAGATCGCTGTTGCCCTCTGTATGGGGCTGTAACTGACTGCTGTCGCTGGCTGGGCTAGCGTGTTGAGCAACAGCACAAAGAGGAGCCACGTGGCTGTTGGAACGTGCCAGGTGTTGCCCAATGCTTTGTTGCGATGGTACTCGGTGGGGTCGTTCGTCATGTTGGTCGTATGTGAGCCTGAGAATCCCATCATCTGTTCACGCATGGTGGCAGGGGCGAGGCCGGCGGTCCCCTGGCAGGATGTGACCAAATATTTGGTTTGGTATTGCCATGGTGCAAATTCATTTGTTCGTGCTGGAGGCGGGCGTCCGCTGGCGTCGGGTGCTGGTGTGGTGAGGCAATCGAAGAGCCCCTGGTTCTGTATCACTGTCGGTGCTGAGTGGGTTGCTGTGGTGATCTCTGGTTGAAGAATGGCTGCGATCGGATCGTGCAGCCTGGGCCAGCCTTGTTCATTCTCCATCCACTGACAGGACCATGGTGCGTGGTGGGTGAGCATCTGCTGTACGTGTCCCCAGTCGACAGACAGCCACCAAAGTCGCCGGCAGTGTGTGGTGCCCCCGTCTGCTGCGTCGACAATGATAGGCTCGATGTGCAATTGGTTGGATAGCTTGACGATGTCCGACTTGACGTCTTCGTGAGGCACCATATTTTCGAGCAAGATGTGTACCGGTACCGGGCGCAGGGCCTCCTTGATTGCTGACAAGATGTTCACTGTGTGCTGGAAGAGGTGCCCGGTGGCGCCCTGTGTACCTGCCGGCTGGTTCTTGATCGCGGAGAAGTCTGGGCGTGGCGGTCCTCCGGTTGCGATGATCATGATGGGCTTATCGTGGTCCACATTGTCCATGAGTGTCTTCACGAGGCTCTCGATGTTGAATGTCGTGACATCTCCGATGGGGGCGAAGTGTTCATCCAGGATCGCGATGCATTCTGTGTCGATCTCCCAGCTCATGGTGAGCACGGGCTGTATTCCCAAATTGAGGAACGCCAGGCTGGCTGCGCCAATCCCATCGAAGAAGCTGAGGTGCACCACTGAGGTGTCATAGAACAGTGCTAGTCGTTGAATGCGTTTCTGTCCTCCTGACCCCGTCACCTCGGTGGTAAGGTCTGATGGACAATTGCTGTTCTTCGTTGGGTCGGCTCCAGGCTCGGGTCCTGGGCCGTGCTGTCCCTAATGCTGGCCGGTCTTTGCCCTTTTTCTTGGGTTGCTGAAACTGGGCTGGTTGTGCCTGCTGTTGGTGTTGCCAGGTGTTGATGGGAGGTTGTTGCCAGCTCATGGCAGGTTGTGGCATGAGCTGGGGTTGTGGGAACGCGGGTGGACTTGGAGGGAAGGCGTGAGGGACCGGGGGCGTTTGCCACTGCGCTGGCCAGGATGGGCTGGTGTATTGCTGATTCCATCCCTTGTAGCCCTTGCCCTTCCCTTTGTAGCCGCGGCCTTTTCCGTTGGCCTTGTTGCCCTTGTAGCGGTCCTGGTAGCGGTTCTGGTTGTTGGTGTTCCTCTGTTTCTTCTTGGGGGACTGCGTGAGGGCATCGTTTGACTGTGGAGAGGTCCGCCATGAGCTCATCGGTGATGGTGCTGAAAGTCTCGGTCTGTCTCACCCTCATGGCGATGTCCCATGCGAAGGATTCCCACAATGTTTTGATCTGAGGGAGCTTGGTGGAGTTCCGGCGGACCAAGGTGGTCCACCAGTCACAATATTTGTTGACTGCCTTCTCGGCGCCGAACTTGATGAGGATCCAAGCCCAGCGAACTTGCAAACTTTTGACACTCGCACTT